AAGCCGAGAAGAGGAGCTCCAGCATCGGACTCACCTGCAGCGCTGCTCGGTGTGCGGCTCTCGGAGCTCCGGCAGACTCGCGCTCACACACACACTCTCTCTCTCACACACACACACACTCCACTGGCGGAGATTTTTCCATTACGTCTATTATATGTTTCCCTGAGGGGTAAAGCGGCTCTCGCTACACACACACACACACACACATACAGACAACTTTCATTCATTCACGCAGACACACACCCACACACACACACACACACACACACACACAAACACTATTTAATTTACACACATGCATGCAAACAAACACACACATTCACTTGCATACACACACACACATGCATGCAAACACACACATTTACATTTATACACATGCGTACACACATTGCCTTTCATAAACACACACACACATGCATGCATAAAGTCACATGCACACACATGCATACGCACAGATACACACACAAAACAAAAGTACACATTCACTTGCATACACACACACATACATGCATACAGACACACACATATACATACATAAACATGCATACACACACACATGCATGTATACACACACACATCCACATTCATACACACACATGCAGACAAACTCATTCATACACACATGCATGCATACAAACACATGCACACACACACACACACATGCATACACACAGATACATACACACAAACACATTCATTCACTTGCATACATACACAAACATTCATAGACACACACGCATACATAAACATGCATACACACACACACATTCACTTGCATATACGCACAAAACTGCATACAGACACACACGCATACATCCATCAACACGCATACACACACACATGATTGTTTACAAACACAAACAGACATTCACACGCATACATAAACATGCATATACACAGACACACACATTCACTTGCATACACACAAAAATGCAGACATGCGCATACATACATCAACATGCATACACACACACACACGCATGTATACAAACACACACGTACATGCATACACACTTTCATATGCTTACATACACATTAATGCACACACATGCATGCATGCAAACAAGTGTGTGAGTGTATGAGTTTGTGTATAAGCTTGATTGAGTGTGTATGAGTGAGCTAGTGAAAGTGTGATAGTCTATGAGTGTGCATGAGTGCGCAAGTGTATGTGAGTGAATTAGTGTGTGTGTGTGTGTGTGTGTGTGAATGATTGTGAACAAGTGATTGTGTAAGTGTACATCCTGTATGCGTTTATGAGTGCGTGTATGAGTGAGCTAGTGAATGAGTGACTGCGTCTTCGAGTGTGTGTGTGTGTATGTGTGAATGCGAGTGAGTGTGTGTATGTGTATGGCAGATGGTGTTGGGCCGCTCTGAGCTCCTCCAGTGACTTCAGAGAGTGTGATGCTGAGCACACAGATGGTGAAGGTGTGTTTAATATTCACACATTCAGTCAAACACACACACACACACACACACACACACACACACACACACACACACACACACACACACGGCCAGTTTAGTTGATCAGTTCCCCTATAGTGCATGTGTTTGGACTGTGAGGGAAACCGGAGCACCCGGAGGAAAACCCACGCCAACACGGGGAGAACATGCAAACTCCACACTGAAATGCCAACTTACCCAGCCGGGACTTGAACCTTTGACCTTCTTGCTGTGAGACCACAGAGCTACTCGATGCACCTCTGTGTCGTCCATACCTCTTTTAATACTTATATTTATTGTTAAAACCTTTGACAAACCTCATTAACAAATATTGTTCATCAAATTTTAAGCATTATAATGAACTGAATCCACTTTTAAGACCTAAAAGTGAAGCCGTGAGGACATGTGATTTGAGTGTTCTGATCTGCCACTGATTATTATGCTAGTACAGTAGGATCTTGAAGAGAGAAAGCCAATCAAAGTGTTCCTGCAGACTGTTTCTATCAAGTCTGATCAGAACTAATTCAATATATTCATGTTGACCATTAGAAGCTGGAGATATTCACACACTGCTGACGCACCGCCGTGTTTAAACCCCATTATAAAAGTGATTCCTGCAGCTCTTCTGGGTGTAAAAGCAAAGAAACATCAGTGCGGCGTGATCCTGAAGATGACGATGAGAAATGAAGAACTCGACGGTTTTATTTCTGCATCTCCAGATTTATTCAAAAGTATTGATTGATCCGTTCATCTGGATTATTTCTCCACACTGCAAAGAGCTGCACTGCTTTCCTCAGGGTGCTTTCACACCTGCCTTACTTAGATCGGTTGAATCGCACTAGAGTTGGTTTTCCCTCTTGGTGTGGTTCGTTTGGGCAGGTGTGAATGCAGCAATCGCACCAAAGTGGACCAAAAAACATGCCGAGACCTCATTGACGAGGCTTTTAAACGAACCCTGCAGCGATTCGTTTGTGGTGAGAATATGATCCAAACTAAATCAGACTAAATTCAGCTTTATAAACAGTTTTAAACAGAGAGAGAAAGGGAAAAACATGGATCTTGATGGATCTTTGGTAATATTTCCGGAAGATGACCATGTCGCAGTTTAGCTAGATTAATTCACGCCTCCTCCAACGCCTTCGCCAATTTCAATTTGTTAAATTATTGTATTCCAGCCTCAGCCGTGCTTCATAATCGAAATGTATAGTTTGTCTAAAGTAGGGGTGTCCAAATTCAGTCCTGGAGGGCCGGCGTCCTGCAGATTTTAGCTCCAACACACCTGCAAGGATGTTTCTAGAAAGCCTAGTGAAGCTGCGGTCACACTAGAGTTTGTGTGTGCAAAATTCTGTCGTGCGGCGCTGCGAAAAGGGGCGGGATTGCTTCATGTTTTAAATTTCTGTCCAGAGAGGTCATGTTTTGATCCTTGTTTGGTCTCACGTGGTCAAGTGATGTGAGTTCACCAAGCTTGAACTTTGCACCGTAGCGACCATTGGAACTTGACGCATGACCCCGCGTTTCCGGTCTGACGCATTCAGGTATGAATGGAAGTCTATGGGGAGACGAGTCCAGTGTGACGGCAGGTTAAGAGCTTGGCTAGCTAGCCCAGGTGTGTCTAATCAGGGTTGAAACTAAACTTTGCAGGACACCGACCCTCCAGGACCAAGTTTGGACATGCCTGGTATAAAGTAATGCATATAAACTATATAGTACACTATGAGCAGGGATACAATCTGCAGCACAGTCGACCCTCTGGGGTCAAAAGCCACATGTTGTGTCTGCCGGTTTGTTTACTTGCTGGAGTTCCAGTGGCATTTTCCCGCCTGTTAATTCTGACCAATCGTAAAGCAGTTTAGGAAATGCGTTCAATAGCATCTGGCCAATGAGAGATGTGGATTTTGTCAGATGACTGCATTTTGGTTCCTTTTCAACTGGTTTAGACCGAAGCAGTCAGTGTGGTGTGAAAAGGAGCCAAAGATGGCAGAAAATCCTTCAATGGATCATTTGTTGCCCTTGGTCTAGACCAAATGAACCGAACCACAGAGGTGAAAGCACCCTTACTTGTTTCTAGTCCAAACAACTACAAGTTCTTGAATCAAGAAGCATTTTCTAGACAAGTACAACATGTTGATTTATTAATATGAGTCAGAATGAAGTGAGTTTATGTCTTAAAACAGGGGTTCTTAACCATTTGCAAGCTGGGCCCCCCCCAAAGCTGGTTCATTGCAGTTGGGGCCATCACATGAGCTGACGACCAAGAGGCTGACAACTGACCATCACTCAGGCCCTGTTTACACTAGTGCGTTTTAGTTTTAAAATGGCGTTTTAGATCAAAAACCATCCGCGTCCACACTGGCGTTTCTGAACATATCTCCATCCACACTACGCCACCAAAAACGAATATCACGTGACCATTCGCGCACTCTGGGCATGCGCGTTCTAGTATAAACAGGAAGCATGTGTCACGCTCGGCATTTGGTTTTTGTTAGTCAACAAACGCCGGTTAAACAATGAACGCGATGGCAAAGAAAGCAAGAGAGGTCTTTCTGTCGACAGACAACGAGGTCGAGTTGTTACTAAACGTAACGAATGAATAACGGCACAATGGCGCCTAAAACAGACAATAGTGCAAACAACGCTCCCATTTCTGTGTCCGTGTTGTTGTTTACAGTGAAGGCTGGTCTGCTGTCTTCCAGTAGCGTTAGAGCCATGTGTTATAGTCATGTGATAGGGACTTGACGAATAAGGGAAGGATACGCAATGACACAAAAGCCCCAATCAGGTAGCGAATCTCAGCAGCCCCGCCTCCGTTTTCAGATGTCTCCGTTTTCCCTCATCCACACTGAGACGGAGCAGCAGCGCTTCAGAATGATCTCCAGAGTTTCCAAAACGCTCCATTTTCGGCGCTCATGAACTCCGGCGTAATGAGGACGGATGGCATGACCATAGCAAAACTTGTGCGTTTTAAAACGAAAGCGCATTAGTGTAAACGGGGCCTTAATTTATCATTACCTCACGATTGAAAATGTGACAGTGATTTCATATGACAGTTCAACAAACAAGTTAATAATATTAAGTCACTTATATTTTTGAGTTTTGGTCTATTTTAGCAGTGAAAATAGATTTGATGAATCCGAAAAAAGATCACAAATTTGCACACAAAAAAAATTCAGTTTTTTTTCCCTCCCATCCTGCAGCATACTTGCGCCCCCCGCGAGAGTCTGCGCCCCCGCCGGTTGAGAACCACTGTCTTTAAACAAGCAAAATAGTCTAGTTTTCACTTTCAAATCAAATACTCCATTTCCCCCCGTTGTCAGATTATTTAAGCTCGTTTAAATGAAAAACTCACTTCATTTTGACTCATTATTTCTGAACGCACACCAGTACTTTCAGCTTGTGTAGAAAAAGCGTCTTGATTTAAAAATTGTGAGATACTTGGACTAGAAACAAGTCAAAAGCTGTGTAACCGAGTCAAAAACATGTAGTCTAAGCATTAGTAGCAGTGTTTCTCCAGTAACAGGAAGTGTGTCTGAATGCTCAAACTGTGCTGTAAGAGTCGGTCAGCTGCTGTTGTTTTATTTATTGAATAGTTTTCCCTCTACACCACTGACAGTACATGAACACACACACAGACGTGATGATGTTTTCAGTTACGCTTCTGCTGTTGTTGGAAGAACCTTCACGTAGAGCGTCTTCGAGTTCAGAGTCTTCATAGAGGACGCCTTCAGCTCTGAAACACACACACACACAAACAGACTTACACACGTAGAGATGCATTCAAAGTATTACTGATCTTATATTAATTATTGAGTCTTTATCGTTGATCCTCTCTGTAAGACAGTGGTGAATCTGCTGAACTGTAACATCAGCACTGAATGCTGCATCAGGCTCTGCACTTCAGTTATGCAGAGCTGGATTAATACATCAATGAAGTGCTTTGTGTTAGGTGTGTTTTTGTGTGTGCGCAAGTGTGTGTGTGACTCTAAGTGTGTTTGTGTATGTTCGTTAAAAATACACTTAAACACACACACATAAATGTGTATGTGTTCATAAATGTGTGTGTTTAAAGGTGTGTGCCTGTGTGTTAAAGTGACTGTGTGCATGTTTAAGCGTTTGGTTGTGTGTTTTAAAGTGTGTGTGTGTGTGTGTGTGTCTAAGTGTGTGTGTAAAAACACACTCAAACACACATTTTAATGTGTTGTTTATAAGTGTGTATGTGTTTAAGTGTGTTTTTGCATGCGTGTTAAAAACACACTTAAATGTCTGTGTGTTTGTGTATGTGTTTAAGCATATGTCTCTGTAAGTGTGTGTGTGT